GGCAAAAGCAAGTAAAACAAGGAGTGTTCCATTTAGGTTCGTAATCACCTCATTCATATGCTGTGTTGAGAAAGAACACAATTCCTTCGCTGTATATGTGGGAGATATACACACTTCACTGTACTAAATGTGACTTTCAGTCCTAATAAACTTGCAATCAACAAGCTGTCCTAACTTTCTAATAATCAAATGGAGTTGCATGGTGTAGTACATGCATTTCACCATGAAATACTTCTTAATAACTAGGGAACCAAGGAAAGTGAATTCCTTTCAGTCATTGATCTTACAATCAAATGATTGTCCTTAGCTGCTGGTCATGGAATTTAATATTATCCATCAGAACTATTTAGTGTCTCCTTTCCTATTGCTTCCTCATTTGACTCATCTCATACAGTCATGTAAGTGCTTTGAGCATTTCTTCTTTATCATTTGATTTGAGATAACACAAGCAGTACTCCCACTATCCTCTGACTAATTAGTTTCAACCTCTATAATCATAATTTCAATTAATTGATTTCTGAAAAAATTTAAAACTAATTAACAGAAACCCTAAGTAATTGATGTAATCACAAATCATGGGTAACTGATTAAATTGCATAGCTCTATATCTAAGAATAATTGAACACTAGAGCTACAAATAAAGCATCTTTCAGAAAGAGAAGTGCTTTGGCCAGTTTCAGGTGCATCTGATATGTCTTGGTCAAGTTTGATAATGGTTCTGCTACCTTAGTTAAGCACTACTTACACTACTTGTACAGTAGAAAGTTTACCATTCATTTGGACCATGCATTGTTAAAGGGACCATTGAGGTACGGCCATAGGGCAGATGTGCCACAGTGTTCCCAAACATATGTGGTGTGGCTAAAGTATCTTTTAATCGATATGTATGAGTTTGCACACCAACAGCTAGGAAAGGCTACCATACGATAAAAGAGATATTACAATAAAACAGTCAAGGAACAAATATTCAAGTGTGAAGACTGGATGTGGCTTTCATACATGCCAGTAATATGGAAACAACTTGGTTATGATTGGATAAGTTCTTATCTAATCCTCCAAAAACTAGGTTACCTAAATAATGAGGTACAGTGGTCATGTGCCACAAACAAGTGATTTGAACATGTTGACAAGCTATGACCATATGTCACTGATAAACCTCTCATGTACTGACTAACCCTTGGTTCATCACAAAAATAAAGCTTCAAATATTCCAACTTTCTAAGTAATCAAAATCTTACTATTATGTGTATTTGTTGTTAATCACAAAGCTAGTGCATACTGAGCTATCTGTGCTTTGCCCAATTTTAGCCTTATAAGTTTTTTTGCTTCAAGTTTGTCTAGGTCTGATCATTCAGTGGGGAGGGTGTTGCTTGTTATTCGAGAATCTTGGGTTGAAGTACTATTGTCACCAAACTTGTTCAACCTTTCTTTGTTATGGAAAAGCTACTAAAGTTATGTACTTCTGTCACTAATTTTGAATTGCTGATCAGAAGGAAGGTAGCTGGCTGACAGCACCCAACATCAGCTTTTGTTGATTGTATATACCATGGTTTGAGGAACACTGTACATTTGCATAAACACTGTGGAATTTTATATATGCACTTATCATATACATATATAAATATATATATATATATATATATGAAAATTGATTTTTTTTTATATATACAGAAATGCATGTAGTTAGATTTGTATTTGCTTTCAAGTATGCTGGACATTTAGTTGTTTGGTCCACCATCAATGTTCAGACATAATTAACCAACATATGCTTCTAAAATAAAACTGAAAACATAACCCCGGAGCATGTCAATTCTTGTAATTTTAGTTATGGTATAGTTGTAACAAATACTAATGGAAATAAAGCAATATCCTGACAACATACCCCCGGAGCATGTCTATTCTTGTAATTTTAGTTATGGTATAGTTGTAACAAATAGTAATGGAAATAAAGCAATATCCTGACAACATAACCCCCGGAGCATGTTTATTCTTGTAATTTTAGTTATGGTATAGTTGTAACAAAAAGTAATGGAATAAAGCACTATCCTGACAACATAGCCCCCGGAGCATGTCTATTCTTGTAATTTTAGTTATGGTATAGTTGTAACAAATACTAATGGAAATAAAGCAATATCCTGACAACATAGCCCCCGGAGCATGTTTATTCTTGTAATTTTAGTTATGGTATAGTTGTAACAAATATTGAGTGAAATTTCACAATTTAAAGAAGTATTAAGTAGTCTAAGCACTGGATTAATTTTAATTTTTAAACATTGTTTATTGAGTATTGTGTACTAGGCTATAATAAACTCAGCAGGCATGTTTTTCCAAAATCAAACAAAAAGACTACCAAAACTTTCCATTCAAATTCAAACATCTGATGAGGAGAGTCAAACTGCACCAATGAATCATTGTAAATCAGAACTAACCATTGAAATATTAATGGTATGCTAAATATTATGTAATTTCAGACTGTATTATACTAAAAAACAGGGAGTGCATAAAAATATGATTAATAAACAACTTTGTAAAGCAGAAATAGTGGGTGTATTTTTCATGTGTCTTATGGTATTATAAATAAGTTGTCTTTCTTTTACAGAAGATGTTTTATCACAGTCATACTCTTTTGTAAAAGTGCTCATCTAGAACAGCAGATCTAAAATAATTTTTGTAAAATAGGTCTTTTTTTTAACATTGTGTGAGTAAATGCATTGTTTCTTTCAATAGATAAAATTTTAAATTCTTGTCTGATATAGATAGTAATATTGTATGTTGTTTTTTTAACACAAAAGTTGTCTGTGAACTTAGAAGTAGTAATGATGGTTCTGATCTACCTGTAACATATGTTCATCTAATTTAGAATAGCTTACAATAGATATATTATCTTCATGTCTTGCACTGCAAGGACATTTCACTTTCAAAAAAGTGTCAATGATTTGGTCAGGTGTGGCAAGTAAATATGGGTACATTGTGCAAACAAACACTCCAGATTTTTTTGTTCTTGCACCAGTGTTTCTTTTTGTCATTTTTTAATGCCACACTTTACACATTTGACCATATTGCAGTGCTGGAGATCTTAATTTTGTTGCATTTTAGATTCTTTGTTAGTTTTCACAATATCTTTCCATGAGATTAACTTGACTAATTCACCAAACTTACTAGTAGTCAATCTGTAAGACCTTGTCTCTAGCCAGAGTTGAGAAATTGCTTGTTCTCTTGCTTGTAGTATTATATTTGGTAGTTTAAAAATAATGTTGTTAAATTACTCAATACATTATTATACAAAATTCACAACTAAAATTTTTTTTTACTGAGATCATTAGTAATTTTGAAATATTTGTTGGTAAGGCTTTAGATCATCCTGTAATTTATTCAAAGCAGATCATTATACACTGTTGCCTTATGCTAAAGTGCAGATGCCATAACATTTTTACAGAATTACATTCAAAATTTAAACTACTTCATTATCAATGTATATTAATTAATTTGTCATCAAAACATAGTTTATAATTAATATTTTTTATTATCCAAATTTCAATTTAAAAAGGAAATATTAAAATAAATTCTCAATCTGCTCTCCCGAGTCACATGATTTTTGCTCGTTGCTCACAAGGGCTTCAGATTGTTTAACCAGTTAGAATCACGTGCTGTTGATGTTGACAAACAAGAATATTAAACTTTCAACCCCTTCTTGCTGTACTGAGATATATTTGTTGAACTCACATTTACATACCCCCTCCCCTCCCATGTTCTCTGTTTTTTAAGAAATGTTTGTAATTCTCTCTGCTGTTGGATAACATTATAAAGAGCAAATTTTACACTGCATAGATCAGACAATTATCTGTCAGAATTAGTGGTAAAAGCTGATATTTTATTACGAGTACTTGACATATTGAGGCTAAAGATGTTGCACCAAGCAGTAATGAAGTGTTTTTAACCTATATGTACTTTAGTTAGAAAGCCATATAAAGTGTAGTAATTTGGGGAAATTCTGTTCCAATGTTTGTTATATTTTGTGTTCTAAAATGCATATTTGAATGCTACATGAATAATTTTTTGACAACCAACTGAGTGCGAAAAATTTGTCTTACTAAACCATGCATCCAAGTACAAAAGGCTTCAAGGCTAAAATAAGTGCTAAATTTCTTAGTTTTCATGTACAATTTTTATTTATTGTTATATATTTTAAACAAAAGTAACAAAAATTTAAAAATTAGGAATTTACTAGGTTAGATAAGAAAATGTAAACAAAACAAAATTAAGTTATCACCTCAAGGAACATACATGAGCTGCTGCTATGTGATATAACTAAATAGTTTTGTTTACCCTTAACTTGCCATAAGCTTTTACTGGGAATTTATTGCTTTGTTTCTCTAATTAGACTTGGTTCAAAGAGCAATGAAATTGAATGAAAGTGTATGTGAAACTGTTAGGAGCCCAAGGCTGTTTAAGATATAAAATTACAATTATATTTTACTATTTGCAGCCATTCTAGAAAACATTTTGATTTTTCAACTTTTTTCTGGATTATTTTACTATATTTAGAGTATAGAAACTAACAAAGTAAGGTTTTACTAAAAAACGTGATATTAATTCAGGAGGTACCAGAGTTATGCAAATGTGATATGGAAACGGTAAGATGAAAGATGTATTTTTATTCTTAGCATGAAAATCATCTTTTACTCAGACTGACTAAGTAAGAGCTTTATAAATTCATAGACAAATCTTTAGTAAAAATACTTTATTTAAAAAATTGATTTTTTGTGTAGAACATGTATATTAGACTTGTAATTTTACTAAAAGCTTTCAATATATTCTTAGTACATTTAGAGTTATGTATAATTTCATGATTAAATGGTGGTTATAAGGTCACTCAGATTGATCTCACATGTATGCATAGGTTTAATAAGATGGTTTGCTTTTGTTTTATATTTGCTAGAATACTGTTTAATGTAAATTATGTAATGATACATTATACTTTTGTTTTTTATTACATTTAGCCAATCTAGAAAAATGGCTACAGCAGTTGTACTTGGAGGAGGTATCAGTGGACTTTCTTGTGCCTATTATCTAAGTACTATAGCAAGGCAATACATGAAAAAGGTTAGTATATATTTTATGATTTAAATACATGATCTATTCAAGGAAAAGTACTGGAGTAAAATCTCCATCACATGATTATTATTTATTTGCTGGTACACATTACTTTCTAGATTCTTAAATACATTAATCTATAAGCACTTCCAAACTTGAAATACCCACAATACTTATTAATACTTATTTATTTCAAAACAGATCATTTTTATTATTATTACATAGGTGCTGGTTGTTAAGTATGTATATCAAAAATTATTAACATTATTATAAAAAGGAAGTTGTAATGAAATGAGTGAAGGACTTAGTGCCATGGACATAAAATTTTGTCAATGTAGTTGATATGGTATTGAACTTGAGACAGTAGTGTAAGCCAAGGGACATACTTTTAAGTCACTTTTAGGGAAGATTGCTTTTTATCTCTTACAGTTTATTGCAAGTGGTGATCTGAGCTACAGATATTAAACAAAATCTTTATAAGAGGCTTCAGAAACAATTTAAAATATATATTACTATGACAAGAGATGCATGTTTTGTGAAGTATGAGATGTGATTACTGAGGTAAGATTAGTGAGTTGTATTCACATACTGTTCAAGTAATCTGTTTAGTTAGATGAACATAGTGAGGTATTGTCTGGAGAAGGAAGTCCTTTGTAATTAGTGAAGAGAATGGAATGGGTGAGAGTTGTCTTTCAGAGACTTGATGTTCTGGTAGTTCAGTTAATACAGCATTAGACACAAGATACTTTTTGTACACTACGTGCTAGAAGCACTGTCTTTCCAAACATGAGACAGAAATTTCTTATGACCCAAGTGGTTTTTAATGGGTTGGAATGAGGATGCATTGATATTTGAACATTCATCAGCAAAATTGCTGATTACTGGCACGGCTGCATCTAGTAGTGGAAGACCAGCAAGTTGTGGATCTGGGCATAGTTGTTTATTTATTTGTTTTTATTTCTAGTGATAATTGCTATTCCTCACTTTTGAGTGAGACTTTGTTGTTTTAATTGCTTAACAACATGTTGAATCCAACACACATCCTAATTATATATTGTTACGTCTCTGGTCATTTTGTACATTATGTGCTAGAAGCACTGTCTTTCCAAACATGAGACAGAAATTTCTTATGACCCAAGTGGTTTTTAATGGGTGGGATGAGG